CGCGCGCACGCGCGTTCCTTCAATATTTGCTCAAGTCACATGTAATTAACAATCCGACACATCGGGAATCGCCGAAGAATTATTATATACATAGGTATATCGATATTAATCATTAACGTGCGTTGCATCGTATTCGGCATGGCATTTGCGTCATTGCCGAATCACGTGCGCGTTAATGCAAATTTGATCGCTCGTTAATTTAAAGAAAAGGAAAGAAAGTGTCAATTACACGATCGACGATTACAAATCGCTGCGTAAATATTTATGTTATGTCGCCAATTAATCGCTGTTAATTATCACCGTAGCAAGTAAACGTTGGATGTCTTTACGTGCTGGTTGTGCCGGAAAGTTCAGTCGTTTTTGAAAGCGAATAATTTATTCGTAACTGTTATGCTCGGGCCGTGAGATTTATCTGCTAATTTATCAAAAAGGACACACACAATTAATAAAAAAATCATTAATATTTTATTTTTATCAATAAGATATTTACATTAAAAGAAAACGAGGAACGAATTTCTTCACCAGTCTAACGTTATTACCAAAACTAGCTATTTATATCAAAATATATTTTAGATTTGTGTTATTTTTTTTTAGTTACGTGCAGAAATATCCGTCATTTTCGTAAAGAAATGTCACTTGTTAGAGATACGAGAAGCTTATCGTAATTCAATTCATCTAACGGGATTTGCTTGTTTATTCTTTTAACAACTCAAACGAAATATAACTCTACTATTGTAATATACAAGGTGCTTGAAAAGTTCCCGCATGCTTTTTGGTGAATATTAGGACGAATTTCAAACTGAAGACTTAATATAATTTTAAATTATATATTCATTAAATTATAAATTCATTATTCTGTAAAATACGCAGGACTTTTGGAGATATCTTTAAAATTAAATCGTTGCGTCAATGAGATTAAATATGATGAGATTTCCAGGAAAAATTTTCAAAAAAATATCATAAAATCTTCCGATTTAATATACTGCATTTCATATAAATAACACATATATACATACATAGGTATATAAAATAAAAAATTGATTTAAAATTCAATATTTTGTAGAATACGAAGGACTTTCGAGATACCTTACATGTTAAAATGTATTCTTAGATCCGTCATATACAAACATTTGACATTTGAAAGTCATAGGCAGGTGAAACATTCGCCGAGGCGTTTAATCGTGCATTGTATTCTTAGCGACACCGGGTGATCGTAAAGTGATCGTCATCTAATCCACGTCTGCTCGCGAATTCGATGATTAAGCGCTACAACGAGATGATAGGGCCCGATATAACGGACTTTAGCGAGAAGGGAGGGAAGAGAGAACGGAGGGGGTGTGCACGTGGTGCACGCGCGCGCCACGTGCGCTCCCGCGCGCCGCGGGGAGTTCAGGTTCAGGTTTCACGTTCGATAGTCGTGGCTCTTTTTTGCGCGCCTCGAAAGGATGTGACGCGTGTAATTGGCTCTAATTGGTTTACCAATTGCCGCGGGGCCAATTGGCCGATGGAAAGCCGGTCTATTAGATCCCGAGAGCGTCGCAACTGTTTGCGCAAACAATGGATCGCGCGCGAATGAAAGTGAGGCAAAGTGCCTGTCGCAAAAGTTTAAGACCTTTGTTCTACGCCTACAGGGTGACTCTGAACTACAGTGGTCGAGCAAGTCTAAAATGAACGAATACGCGCTTTGCGAACATATTCTTCAACTAACTTGTAGTCGATCGATCATGATGTAACGATTATGATAATATTCGTTTTCTAGATAACATTACTACGGGGAATTATTTTTGTTCTTTTTTTTTTTCGTAAAAACCATTCATCGAGAAACACATATTTCTGATCTTCTAATTAAATCGATTATTTCAAATAATAATTCTGTTAAATAACGCAAAACTGAGAAATAAGATTTTTAATAAGAATTTAATCTTAAATTACGATATAATCGAAGAATGAGGTTTTATATTGCTATCTATACTATTTATACAATTCCGTGAAATCTCGTCAAGACATACGATTCACTCAACCCTCGTGTGAACTCGTGAACGGTGGCATAACGGTAGTATACGGATATTTAGATCGGGATATCTAATCTTCGAAGCGACTCGGCGACAACCATGACGGTTGTGACCTCGGAGCGCCTAGCAACCAGTCGCGTGTAATATGGGTAATGTCCTCTCGAGAGATATGTGATCCTTATACATCCATGGGACGTCGAGGTGCACCACCTCGCGTGAAGTATATTGTCTGAAGCGAGTAGATGACCGTTAAAAGAGAAGAACGTTAACAGCCTCAGAAAGGCGACTAATAATGAGCCGAGGAAGAATTCCTGAGACGGAATCCCAAGCATATACATATTCAGGACGTTAACTCATATCTCGTTCATTTGCTCACATTAACATAACTTAAAAAAGTTTTCCTGAAAATGACTTTGAATATTTCATATCATTAAAGTTTTGTAATATTATTTTTAAATACGATTTTAGTGTAATAACTGATAGAGAAATAAAAGTATTTAACTATATATTTATAGCTCTCTAAAATTACGCATAAAATTAAGCTTTTAAGTTTAATTATATAATTTAACTTGAATTAATAAATATATCCAATATGTATGTATATATTATATACAGTGAGAAAAAAAATATTTTAATCGAAAAAAATATTTATTAGGTGGCTCCTAATAGCATTATTTATTTACTTTTTACACATATTTATTTAGAATTTTATTTAATTGAAATAAAAATATCTAATTCTAAATAAATATGTGTAAAAAATAAGTAAATATGCTATTAGGAGCCACCTAACAAATATTTTTTTGGATTTTTTTTTAGTGTATACAAAATATATCCAATATATATGTACAAAGATAAATGGTAGATTGCGTTCACTGTTTTTATTTAATTTTTTTATTTCTGAAATTAATTAATACGTAGGTATATAATCTGCGGAGTCGTCCACGCAAAGCGAGTATTTCCCAATTGCTTCGAGACGGTGTAATATTTCGAACCCGTATACGTGCCTGGAGGTAATGAAACTTCGAATTTAAACGTGCATGCTGTAACGCGAGACGCGTGCAACCGCCGCGTGTGCAGCGTCGATGCACCGCGTGCGCTGTCTACCTGGCTGCTGGTTTTTTTTTCCGTAGAACTACGTCTTTGTCGACATTAAGTAGGGGGTAACATTGGGAGCATAGATGCAACGAAAACATGTCACACTTTGAACGTTTATATCTTCGAAACTAATAATCGTAGAGTAATGATTAATACGTCATTAGATAGCTTATATAGTCCCATTTTTCCTCAAAAGTTTCAAAAGTCTCAAAAAGCTTCCTAAAGGTGAAAGCCAAACAATTATAAGCAAATAATTTATGCTCAAGTCTCAACCACTTTCAATAATTCTTCTTTTTTGGCAATTTATTATTAATTATTGGCAACTTTTCTAATTCTATTATATTCTTCAGTCTTTTCTACTCTTATTTTATATATAATACTTTAAGATTTGGTTGATTAGACTCAGCTTTATTTAGGCTTTTATGTAATATGTACATATTCCTAGCAAATTCTAACGTATGTAACTCAAGAACTAATCAAATAGAATTATATATGAAATAGGGGTAGAAAAAACTGAAGAATATAATAGAATTCGAAAAAAATTGCCAATATAATAAAAAGTGTGCAAATTAGGAATTTGCACATTTTTTTTGCTTATAATAACTCAAGAATTAATCGACCAAATTTTAAAGAATTATATATGAAATAGGGGTAGAAAAGATTGAAGAACATAATAGAAAAAAATTGCTAATATAATAAAAATCAAACGAGCACAGTAACAACTGTGCCGCAATCAACAACGTAGAACTACGTTTACTGTCACTAGTTTATGTTAGAGTATTCAGCGAAGGATAATTGACGTTTTTTTTTTTTAGTAGCTTAGACACGCTCGTAGAAAAGTACATCTTCGATGTTCTGAAACGCGATATAAACTTATGTCGCAATTAAAGCACAAAATTTTCGATCGTTAGATCCTATTGATGTACCTAAACAATAAATTAATAACAATGGAATAAATTATTGGATCCACCAGTGCGTAGATAAAAATAATAATCGAGATTAAGCGACCCAACTGGCCAATTTCCATTTATTCGTCTCACAACGTTTCGACCCCGATTGGGTCCTTCTCAAGTGAGATTATACATAATTACGCAACAATATCATGCGTCGCAAGACGTTGCGCCCAAACCACATCATGCAAACGCCACGATATTAAGTGCGTCAAAAGAACAAAATGGTCGAACTGTAAGGATGGTCGATATAATTGAGAGATGACTCTTGGTATATGTATATATTTGATAACTGGTACAATGGTATTTGCGGGAACGAACGTAATTGCGACTTGGCTCTTCTCAGGACTATTCGAGACTGGAAATTTGTTATTTTGTTCTTTTTGACGCACTTAATATCGTGGCGTTTGCATGATGTGGTTTGGGCGCAACGTCTTGCGACGCATGATATTGTTGCGTAATTATGTATAATCTCTGCACTTGAGAAGGACCCAATCGGGGTCGAAACGTTGTGAGACGAATAAATATGGAAATTGGCCAGTTGGGTCGCTTAATCTCGATTATTAATAAATTAATATTTTTTGCGTAACTTTAACTTATTTTTACTTTTGAAATATTTTAGTTGAGATTTACCAAAATATTCAACGTGGAAAATAAAAGAAACTTATAAGAAATTCTTATCATCTAAAATTTATTTTGCATGAAATTGTGTGGTACTTATTTATCTGCAAATTCGAGATCCTTGAGATTAAAGTGTTTTATATACCACGACACGTGTATGAACATTTATCGCTCGAAACAATTTACATATTTATACGTCGTACCGTATGGTTTACAAAATTGACGAGTTCGCGGTTTCTCAACCGCACGCGCCGATGACGAGTTGCAAAAGCGTTGCAGGAATTGTTCGCGAAACCTTTAATGCGCCGCCATCGATAACTTCTACCTTGCCTACCGTTTAATTATGGAGAATGAAACGCTCGTTCGAACGATCACGCCGTTACGTCAGTGGAAAACGTGATTTCGCCTCGTCTTTGTCGACAGTTCTAAGGATCTATGAATTCAACAAGGAAGTAGGAAGAATCGGCTGTCTCTGATTTTTTTTACTTCTCCAGAAGGACAGCTGTTTCATGACATGGGACAAAAAGTTAGTAAAAATAAAGTTAAGAGAATTTTAATTTTAATGATGAAAAGGTGGAAAGAGAAATCAATATTTGTGTGCTTTTCTCATCAAAAATAAAAAAGGGTATATACATTCGTTACTAATGGAGATATCATAATGGACATTTATAAGGATAATCTTTAAATACATTAAGGATAATCTTTAAAATGGTAATTAACACAAATGTAATGTAATATTGATGTTAATTGGTTGTTTTTATTACTTTCTCGCACACGCCAATTTATAATGATAAATATTCTAAAGGAATTACTTGATTAAAATTTTTATATTTCCTCGAATCACTAATCTTACCTGTTTTTTAGAAATTAACACAGATATTATAACAATATACATATATATACATATATAATCTAACTACTTTTAAAATAAAGTTAATTGAAAAATATTAAATTGTTATGATAAAAGATATTAGGTGTAGGTAATGTGAATATTGAAGTTATAATAATTTTAAATATACTGCTGTATTGAATATAGTTTAACTTAATTTAATTCGCCTCGTTTTACCGATAATCGTGCTAAAGATATTTTTGGTTGAAGATGTAGAGTCATTAAATCGAAAAGATATATAACTTTAACGGAAATGAGGACAACAATTGCAATTATTATCTGACAAACACTTATTTATTGATCGAGTGTATTATTTATAGGATCAGACACAAGCAGGATTAATTATATGAAAAGCTTATCGTATTTTATTTATATCTAACGTAACACTGCGGTAGATGCGATAGGCGCGCGATTAAGATAATAAACAGGAATTAATTACGTCATGAAGCCATCGCGTTTCTTGGGAATGTTTACGCTTATCCGCCTACAAATTCGATCCTCTTAAACTTATTAATGTTATCTGAGGTTTTATCTCGCCGATAATATCACTCTTATTGTGTTGTTTTTATGTGAAGTCATCTTTTGATTACAAACAATTACGAGTGGGGCCATGTTTCTTAATAACTAAGAGACAATGTGTATTTTATTGCGTTATTTTAAGCGACGAAGAGAATAGTTCAATTCATTCTTATATTCTTTCGTTTTATTTTATTGGTTGCAAAACATGTTGGTTATTAACAATAACGTCATTGTGTATTCAGTAAAACAATAACTCATTCACAATGTATTACCGATATTTTACAATTTGCATTTTTAATCTACATTTTGTTTTGTAATGTGTATATTTCTTATAATTAAATATTAAAATAGTATCAATAAATTTCGTGACTTTTTTATGGAACTCTTAAACTGATTGCCAATTAATCGGAAGTGATTTTATTTTTTCTGATCGCGCACTGCGATTGGCATTGGTTTGTTTACAGCAATTGACGTTGATCGAAAAGAAAAAAAAACGCGCTGTAACGTAGTAAACTTGTTTACGCCTAGCTGTGTGTGCGAACCCGTGACGCTAGTTTACTCTCCATTTCCTGGTTTTCCGGGATGTTACGATTTCGAGTAAATCCCGCTTTTAATCGGCAACAAGTAGCCGGCAATAACAATGTTATTTACTAACATTACTAACAATACCGCGGAAGAATGCGCGGTAATGTAATAATATTTTAAACCAGTTACGAACTTATTAATGTGCACGTGTATATATGAGTTCCTCTCGCGTCGGCCTATGTTTAAAAAAAAATAAGAATGGGTTAACGAAATATATCTCATATTAATTGTATCTAATATATAAGCTATATTTTTAAAAGCTAAGCATTTTATCTCCCACGCGCGTCGAATTTTTAGAGAATCTCAGGAGTATCCCGCATGTTGTAATTTACATAAAATAATTTGTGCGAAATGTAAATACTTTCTAGCTCGTGGCGGCTTTCCTTAGAATCAAAAGGAAGGGAAAGTGATCTCTCGCTCGTCGGACGGTATACGCAAGAGGTTCTTCGCAGTTTCGGTTCTTGAATCAACAGCTTCCGGATTTATACGAAGTGCTTCTAATTCTCTCGTCTTCGAGATTTTCTCCGGAGAAACTTCGGGGATTAAACTGAATCGCGCGCAGCCGAAAATAATGCCGCTTTCGCCCTCATGCACTCGGATATAAACTCCGCGCTCTGCCAGGCCACGGCTCGAAAATAGTCACAACATTTAGGGTGGCAACCCGTGGCTTCTAGAGCGACGCACGCGTGTCGTCGTGACGCATGAACCTCCCCCTCCTTCCTCATCTCCCTCCCTTAATCTCGCGTAAACCTATTCAATTGGCTCCTCTGAAGAAAATTGTTATGTCGAGTAGCTTGAGGCGAGAAATCTTTGATTCAAAATTAGAAGACGGTTAATTTCGTTGCTTTCTCCCTTGTTTTCTTTAAAAATTTTGAATCAATCTTACTAATGGATTCTTATTTGTTTAAAGTGTTTTACTTAACTCATTGTCAGATATTTATTGAACCCAGATTAAAGCATAAATAAAACTAATGCAAATGAAAGACATTGAATTGTATAATATTCATTTAAACGAGAACCATTTTATTTATTTTTTACATACATGGTGTTAAAAAGAGGATCCGAGTCTTTTGACCTAGATTATGCATTAATCATTAAGAGGAGTAAAAAATGTTTGGTTAACATCTAGGTCGAAAAATCAACATTAAGGTCGAAAAAATAAGTTGATGTCAAAGATAAAAATGACTTTTTTATTTTATTAATATAGGTGACTTGTTTGCATTTTTTTGTAATCGTAAGTCTCTTTTTATAATTAAGTAGATCTTCTAGTTATTTTGCATTTAAAGATAGTAAGGCAAGATTGTCAAAATGAATAGAGATATCTGATATTTTGTATCAGAGTATAAAGATAAAATGTCTGTCATATAAATTTATGCAAAAATATACTCGTCATTTGTGTAAAAAATTTTTTCTTTTTATTTTTTGATCTAGCATTTTTTTTGTTTAATTGACATTATACATTTTTATGTCTTTTATTTATATTAGTTTTATTTATGTTTTAATTTGTATTTAAACAAATATTAAACTGATTGATTTAAAACTTTAATTACTTTTTTTTACTAACGATATATCTAAAGAGTTGCAAAGTATTATTCAATTAATTAATTGAATAGGTAATTAAATTTAAATTAAAAGTAAAAAAATTTGTCTTTTCTTCTCTCTGAAAAACATTTTATATCTTTTTACTTCTCAAATATAAAACTAAATGAAAATTATATAATCTTTCTTGACGATCTTATTACAACTCAGTGAATTGGTTTCTAACGATAAGATATGCAAAAATAGATAAAAGACGGTTCGATACATCTGGGACATTCTGCAAACAATATCATTGGTGGCGACCCTGACATTAGAAACGCTAAGTCCTAATAAAAAAGAAGGCCTGGAAATGTCTAATTGCGATTATGCAACGCGAATAACGCGATAATATTTTACGTCCATTTTATCTCTAGTTAGGCATTTATTCCACATTTCGACGATGCAAGGTCGAGGCATAAATTATTGACGAGGCGCACCTGTCGCCGTGTGTGCGAAAACAATTTCCTTCGTTAGAAGGGGGTAACCACCAGCTGGTGAGTACCACGTGAGATACGTCAGCCGAAAAATTCGTAACCAATTGCATTACATTAATATAAATTAGCACGCTCGAGGAAACCCCGGGAGCGCGATTCAGATGCGACGGATGATTAAATTACGTGCTACACAAAGGTGTTATATCGTTATATGGAGTATAACGAGACAACTTTCTGCCCTGAAAGATTAATCAAGAAGCGTAACCCAGATCCGATGGAACCATTAGATTGTGCGTTATCCAAACGCCACACAAAGATGAATCGCATAACTTGACTATTTTATGAAGTGTTCCAAGATAGGCGAATATTGATTAGTATAACTAATTAATTACTGGATTACAGTGGCTCTCAGATCGAGGAATGATTATTTTGGCAACAACACTCGAGATTAATTATCAATTTGCTGATTGATTTCGCCGAAATGAAAGTGTCCTTCTTGATTCTTTTAGTTGCGTTTTTTCTTACGTCATGGAATTAGTTTAAATATACGCGTTAATATGTTTAATAATTAAAACCGAAGGAAGTAAAGAAATTAAGTTAGTAAAGTTAGTGTTGTTATTAGTGTCATCACTTATTAGTGATATTTATTTAGATGACAATATATATTTAGCAATAACAATTACCTTGGTTCACTAGTCCAATATCCCTTCAGTCTTAATTTATTGAACCTTAAATAACCTTATTGTGATTACAATTAAATTATTTAAAAAGAATCGTACATTTTCAGTTGTATAATTTCCTTTTTCTTTTAATGAGCTCGAATGATTATTATCGGTCGGCCGGATATGAAACCTTTATAATGTGACGTCACGAAGGGGTGCGACTAGAGAAAGTCTATCGATCACTCGATATTCTTATTATCTTCCTCCTCGAGAAAGACAAAGCGGCTTATAATCTATAAATATATTTTTCCTGCTACTTCGTCTAATGTGCGTCGATTCAGTTAGCGGGCCTTGAACGCGGGCCACACGTTCTATAATAATCTTCGACAAAAAGAAGGAAAAAGAGGAGGAAGGGACACAATCTCTTCGACGGAATCGTACAGATTCGAGGCTCGATGACTCGTGTCCGGTCGATCACAATCGAGCGAATATAGTTGCCAAAAGAGTTATATTCCGTGATATCTATTATCAAACAAATGGTTATCGCTCTGATTAACTCACGTAGCACATGTAGGCAAGAAATATATATATATATATATATATATATACGGTGTCCTATAATAATCCATAAAGATTTTTTCCGCTTATAATTTTAATTGCAGGACTACGTTATTTCCCGCTAATTTTACTGGTGAAAAACCGATTTCCTGTTTCAAGAGATGCACCTTGAAACTCTGTGACGTCGATTGCGGGAAATCCGGCGGTTACATCGTTACCATGCTGAATCGATTTGGTCTTCGATATTTATGAATACATTTTGAGAGAAAATCGCAGATCCGCCGTTTCTTGTTTCCGTTCGGTGCGAATCGCGTCTCACTTTTTGTTTGTTTTTGTTATCATAATCGCTTATATTGATAAAAGTGTGCGTTTGAACTGAGCATCTGCCGGTCACGTATAGCCATTAAAATCTGCATAAGGTTTAATCGTGTCTCTTTCTTTTTTGCTGTTTCAGATCCATATTCGTTGTCCCATCTCGGTGAGTTTCCCATTTCGCAACAAAATTATATTCTTTCACTCCTTTACTAACCTTCACTATCGATTTAATTTAATTCAGCTTTGTTTACTTTATCTGCCGTTCTTCCTGATTAACAAGTATAATTACTCGATGTCTCGACTTCTCCTTCGTCTCCCCTCGCCGTATTATTGCGGCATTGCATGCTCTTAAACACTTGCCATTTATTCTATTTCATGCATTTCGCTTCACTTCGCTTTCTATTCTATCTCATTTTATATTAATCTTATCAGGAACGAATTAATAATAGAGGAGATCGACTTTGCGAAATTTAATAAGATTAAAAAAACGTATCAAGGACTCATATTTTATTATCTCTGTAATAATGCATCGTGAGAGATTAGAAGAGGATTAAACATACGCTCAGTTTTCACGATTTCTGATTAGCGTAATCAAGATTTGTCTCCATTTCAAATATACAGGGTGAAGAAAATATGTTGAAATCACAAATATAGCGACAACAAATTATTAAAAAGAAAAAACGTTTTACATAAAAGTTTCACAGTTTTAAGCAGGAAATTTAATGCATACCAACAATTTTTTCTACCATGTGTTTTTTTATAAAATATCAAAGTATATTTAAAATATCAACGTCATTAATATTTTTTTTAAATAAAATCACATGTACGGTTTTATTTTTAGTTTATTTATTTTGGTAAAAATTACTGAATTTTTTGTCTTCATATTTTTATTGTAAAAAAGTGTCAAAAAATT